TCTCGAACTCCTGAGCTCAAGCAATGACCCTCACCCCCACCCCACCCCCGGCCTCCCAGAGTGGTAGGATTACAGGCATGAGCCACCACCCCCAGCCTGTTGTTGTTAATACAAAGTCTCACAGTTACCCAGGCTGGAGTACAGTGTAGCATTATCATAGCTCACTGCAACCTCGAACTCCTGGGCTCAAGCCATCCTCCTGCCTCAGCCTCTAGGGTAGCTGGGACTACAGATGCACGTCACCATGGCAGTTATATTTTAAATTTTTTGTAGAGAAAGCATCTCGCTATATTGCTTAGGCTAGTCTCAAACTGCTGGGCTCAAGTGATCCTCCTGCCTCAACCTCCCACAGTAGCTGGGTGAGCCACTGGGCTCAGCCAAAAATGTATCTTAAGGGTAATAAGAAAAACTGCTGTACAAAATTTGTTTCGGTAATTTATATGCACACATAGTTCATACTAAGTCACAAAGTATTTCCTACAGTGGATAGTTATCAAAATTTTGAAGGCCTGTTACAGAACTTACCATTTTTTTGGCATGTTCTTCACACAGAGGTGTCTGGTGTGTAATGTCAAAAACTGGCACGGAGCACTGCTGTCCATCTGCAAACCTGGCTGTGCAGCTTGAGAAGAGCTGCTGAGAGCGGTTCAAGAGGATATCTGTTTTTTTTAAGTTAGGAATAAAATATTCTGAAACTCTATTTAACTTTTCAATTTCTATATAAAATCCACTTCTTCCCTTACTTATGTTTAATAAGCATAGATTTTATTATCTACAAAAGCTAAGTACCCAGCCCTACTACTGACATGGGAAAATGATAACAGTTGAAGTTACCATCATTATTTATCAGATGATAATTCTGAAGGAGTCTGTTATGCTAATGGGCTCCTAACATGAGTCTCCTTTATGGCCACTCTGAACCAAACTCTGTTATTTGAAGAAACAGGGTCATTTCCTTCTCAACACACAAACTGCACTTAGAGTTCCACTTAATGGTTTTTTAAAAAACAACTTTTAAAATGACAACTTTCTGCTTATGATACTCATCCAGAATAAGAAATTTAAAGGCATGATTATAAAAAAAATTCATCTGTCCGAAGTTGAATTTTTCATTTTACATTCCCCTCTCCAAACTCAGTCACAACTCATGAAAAATTACTTTTAAATCAGAATTTTGCTATTAAAATTGGAAAACCAGCTTTACATCATCAATATTTTTAAGCATTCATACTTTTAGCCACTACATTTCCTTAAGATTTACCTTATATCTATATTAAGGAAATACCTTTATGTTTATCCTTTATGGTTTTTAGTTTAGGCTATTATAAAGCCTTTATTACATATTATAGAAACTGCTACTGAAAAAGCTGTGAAAATATAACTCCAAGAACAGAAAGGAGGGTGAAAATTAAATAGCTAGTTAAGAAGAAGAATTACTACTATTCTTAAAATGCTACTCAATTTTAAATATTTAATAAAAGTGAGAGCAATAAGATTTTGTCACCAGCCTAAAGCTCCCTAGCATAGGTTTCCTCCAAGTATATTGTCTTAAGGTATCTTCTTTCCCAGTCAGTGATGTTCGTTATCTTCCATTTATTTCAAATCAGCACTGTACTCACTACAAAGAGTAAAATTAATGCCATGCTGTAAAAGGCACACTGTAAAACTGTATAGCTTTCTTGGCAGACTAAAACAGTTTCTAAATAATGTGATTTGATCTTTCCATCAATGCGTGTTATAGTTGCTTCTTACATGCTATTGGGAACCATCTGAGGGACCAGAATTCTATTAACAATATATAATTAAGTGACAGCCATCGGAAGAACCTGCTATTTGCTGTCAATTTTACTTATTTTGTTGTGATTCTTTTTTTTTATATCTCTCTTTAATAATTTAGCATGAAATCCTAGAACATAGTCTCTCAAGGACCTCTACTGATAGACAAGCAAAACTAAAGACCAGTAGAGGAGATAAAGCAAAAGCTGACAAACATAGAAGCTTTCAAACAGGGTAGTTTATGTGATACTTCAGCTGACATTATTAATACCTTATTGAAAATATTCCCAT